TACAGCTATTGAGGGACTCTGTATATTTTCATTTCAATTAAAACTATTAAAATCCAACACTCCACTTTCTGGTTGACAACTCGACAAGCTCTGCCCTAGTAGTATTTGTTCCACTAATGTCTGCCGCTAAAAGTTAATTGTTCATTTCAAGTCAGCATAAACTTTAAATTGAATTCAGCAAATAGTGATGGGTCAAGCTCCTTTAGATGCAGTGATGAATTAGTCACCTTGTCAAGCACAATTTGCACGTAAAGTAACCATCTTTCTCCAAGTCTTTGCCATCTGTCTTCTTGTGGTAGCTGCGGGATTTCCTTATAGGTTGGGTTCAGAGCGCAGGGGTGCACAGTGTTGCACCCTTTCTCAAAGGGCCAAAGATGGAAACAAGCTTGTGGCTCCCCTACTTCAGCCATCATACAACCTGTAGAGCTAGCAGCTATGCAGGGATGCAAGGTGGACGGGTCATAGAGCTTTTAAATTTTCTATTCTATTCTATAAAATTGGTAGAAAGATATAAGTAAATCTAAACAATGTATGTATAAGAATATATCTGCAAAATCTCTTATATTCAATGAAAAATACTTAGTTAAGTAAAGTGTGCAAAATAGCAATTAAAAAATAGAAATCATATCAGATTTATAGTCCCCACACTGCAGATATATTTGAATATGTCCTTAAATTAAAGCCAAATCCATCTTTACAGTAAAAGATAAAAACCTTTAGATAAACTAAACATTACCCGCAACATATCTGACTCAATAACCATTAAACAACTATTTCAATTAATTTCAGACAGAACCATTCATATTTGTATTATATTAAACTGAACAACAATAGACTCCGACAGAAGAAAGTACCATTTCCTCTGATCACGGAGCACCTGGCTTGCTATGTCTCGCAATGAATCCTGGGATAACCAAGGATGGAAAGGATACAGCGGACCTGTCCTTCAAATCAGGCAAAAAGAACAACACATTTGTAGGCCGCATAACAAGGAGTCTTGGAATCCGACTAGACCTCGTTGCAATGCTATGACATAAACGGCCTTCGAATCTGGCCTTCAGGGGACACATCCCATAAATTCGAACAGAGCCTATGACTCAATGACCACAAATATAGACCCTGGAATGCCACAAGAAAAACAATTGAGAAGTAACTTATATGGCAAGAAGAGGGTTCAGGCAATCAGCATGTTTGCCATGCTAGTAATCAGATACACTGCAGGGGAAATAAGTTGGCTAACGAAGAAAATTTAGGGCACTGATGTTAAAAAATGAATACTACTCACCGTACCTGGTGGTTTTCATCCCAAATCGACTATCCATAAACCCGAAGTTCAAAGGATGCAGATGCCTAGTGAGCATCAGAGCCACCATCAAAGATCAAACATCGAAGCACCAAGGATATATATGAAGAGGTGGTCCTAGTGAATGTGTAGTACAGTGGAAAATGGAAGATAAGGATCTAATAGAAGCATTGTGGAAGGAAAAACTCTGCAACCATAGTTTTGGTGGTCATCCCAGCACTGATTGCAAAACCGAAGAAGTGGCTCTAAGAGATACCTGGATAAACAACTGACATCTCAGTCCGAAAGAAAATGTAGGTTAGAATTATTTTTTTTGTTTTTAAATTGAAAAAATTAGCTTCTTTCGGAGGAGATATATTTGGAAGAACCCAAACCAGCTCCACCACAATAGGTACAGTAGCTTTGTTAAACAGCTTGGAACATCTTAAATAGTGTAGGCTTTGCACATATTTAATTTTAGATGAATCATCTGCAACCTCATTTTTAACATCTTTAAGTAAATACTGCAGGGAATGCACTTTTCAGACTAAAAATATGTAAAAATAGCAGAATTAATTCAATATATTTTAATTTATATAGAAGGAAAAGGTTGCCATCCAAAATGTTACTTAAAAAAAACTATGTACGTATTTTGTAAATAGACTTTTTATGTATGATTATAATATTTGTTGCAAAATATGATATAAAGTGGTATAAATAGGAAAGATATAAAAAGTTTAATTTAAATAAATGTTAACTAGAGTAAACTTGAAAGAGTTTCAGTCGTTTTGATTAAATCTATGAAATTCCCCAGACGGGAGACCAATTCTGACAAACTATTAAAGGTAAAAAAGGGAAAGCAAAGACTGAAGAGAACAAACCCCACCCTACTGCGATAGAACACTGAATTTCTCAACCTTGAGCCGACAACACATGCACATTCAAATAAAACCTGTTTATCAAATCACCAGCATCCATAGCAGCAGCATGGTATGTCCGTGGACACGAACAACTACATGGTGTCATGTTTAAATTATCTATGATTCTACATTTAATTAAAATATGTGCACTGTCGTTCAGAAATATGTAAATTTTTAAATTTGAAAGCTAAATATATTTTCCAGAATTGACCGAAGCCATTTTCAGGATTTTGAAGTGTTGTTTTGTGGCCCTGATCTTTTCTGTTTTTCTGTTGTGACAATTGAAAAAAAATAATTTGTGTAGGCTGAGTGTTTTCCTCATATTCATATAAGCTCTTCAGACTAACAGACGTATACTCCCTACTTCCCCCCCCCAGCCACACAAACACTCATCCAGCCAGAGTGCGTCGCCTAGTTCAGTTTTCTATTAAGAGGAGTGCTAGGCTAAGAGAGCTTTTGACTCTGACAGGCTCTCCATCTCTGTCTCCTGCCCACACACACAGAGCCCTGACCACTAGGCCAAATGAGCTGGTTAAGTGTATAATTATGGGATGTTTATGACTTTGCTTCATCATTTAGTGACAGTTTTACAATTAAATACTTTCTGGGTGAGTGGAAATATTTTCACTAACTTAGCGCTCAGGTGTGAATGTGTTGAAAATGGCTCTTCTGCCATAAAGACCACAATGTCTTCATTGATATAAAGAAGCAACCTGGAAGGAATCCTTTCAATCCATTTTTGTATCCTGTGCCTGTGCTCAGGTGCCATCCTTCCAAAAGAACTTCAAATTCACTGTTTTTATGCTGGGACTAATTAGTTAAAAGAAGAAAAAAAAACACCCTATTGAGGTTTTTTTGTAGGACTTATACAAATAGAAAATAAGAAATATACTGTATATATTACAGTTACATCCAAGAATCACTGGTCAGTGAAGCTGTCCCAGCTGTCTGTAAACCAAACTCAATTTAACTATTGTCCAAACATCAGGTCCTTTAATGTAAAGCAAGCCCTTACTTATAACCCTTCACCACTGTGCTGGATAGTTAATGCTGCTTTCTTTGCTGTTTTTATGACCATCTGCAGCGATCGATAATCACAACATTTATATCTGGTTTAAAGATGGTCCAGTTACCAGTACGTCTGGTCAGCAGCAGCATGGCCACTGCCTTTTTCTCTTTGGACTTTGGTTTGACTTATTTTTTACACAAATGTCTTTAACATTAACATCTTTACCAGCTTGTTCCTTAAAGGCTTCCACATCCCTGGACATCACAGAGACACACAGGACAGAATCAATGCAGACATACAGTCCTTCTTGAGAGAAAACTAGATTGATTAATCAGCCAAATGGCTTTGGAGTGTCGGAGGAAGCTTGAGAACCATTGCAGTGGGAGAACATGCTGAAAGACCAAAAGCAGGGGTTCAAACCGAGAACCTTCTTCATCAAAGACTACTGTGCTACTGTAAAAACTGCAGCCTGTTTTTGTTAGATACTGACTTAACTCATTTTAGAACTTTATCATTTAATGTGTTTAATGTGTTTTTTTACACTATTAGAGGATACTATCCGATGTTGATGCTGTGACTTACGTAAAATTATGAAAAATGTTTGTCCATTAACACAGGTGTATTGATTCTTTTTCTTTTTCACCAATACTAAGAGTCCCTTTTAGTATTGATGCTAATGCAGACATTAAAAGAACCAACGTTACAGAATTGAAAAATTCCCACAGCTTCCTCTACAGTATGTCTATTTTCTTGCAGAAACATGATTTATACAAGTGGCTCTAGACATTAAATACAAGAGAAAGCGTGTTATTTCTCTTTTCCTATTGGGAAGCTCTGTGTGTTCTCACAGGAAGGCCTGTAATCCCACACGGTTTATAAAATGTATTCCGGCATTAAAACAGATGTTTCCACAGTATTCTTTTCAGTTTGTTTTACTACTACTCCGTTACCAAAGCCAGCATAAAACAATGTTATTTAAAGTGAAGCCTAAGAAGGGAATCAAATCCCAGGAGGGCTCATGTTTCTGTTGAAACTCCAAAGAGAAGTGATGAAAGCTGCTGTCTGCTGCCTGTTTTAAAGAAGAGAGGGGAAGCGTCTCTGACAGACACTTCGTTCTGTAAGAAGATGTTATTCCCTATTGAAATATTTGTTGAGTCAGATACACTCTAAGCCTTTTCCTTTTCCTCCGTTGTCGCCTCTGTGGGGTTTTGTTGTAATTTCATCAGGAGGGAAAAAAGATGCTCCATCTTTGCAAATCTATTGACCACGTGCTGACTATAGAAAACTGCAGAAAAATACTCTGTTCCAATATTATGACCATAATTAATGGATGTGAATCATGAAGTATCAGTTGATTCATATGACCCTGATACCACATTTTAAACCTTCCCATTCGGGTTTGCTGCTCTGCATCCAGACAAACCTTTAAAATATTTTGTTTGCTGGATTCTTAAAATAAAGACAGTCTGGAGTCTGTTGAGAATATTTTATAGACTCAAATTGGACCTTAATTTATTTTACAACCTAAAGTTTTGATATATAAAACCCTAGAATGAAAAGAATGTTCACTTTAATTTTGCAATGACTGTGAACTGTGAAATAGTTAATCTTATCCATGCTAACAGAAAAACATTAGTTGTGGAATTTCTTTTCTCATTGATAAAGATTATATTTAAACATAAGAGTATTAATCCTTATGCTAACAGCTGTTAAAGCCAAAAACTGCTCATTCTACAAAAAAGTCTGATTTCTTTTTGCAAACTAAAACTGGTTTGTGTTCTTTATCCAGGTGAGCTTGATGCACAACGGCTGGCCTGTGATTTCAGCATTCGCTGGCGACCAGGATGTGACGCGTGAGGCTGCCAGCAACGGAGTTCTGATCCAGATGGAGAAGGGAGACCGGGCCTACCTCAAACTGGAAAGAGGAAACCTGATGGGAGGGTGGAAATACTCCACCTTCTCTGGCTTCCTGGTGTTCCCATTGTAGAGAGGAAGGAGATCAGAAGGAGCAGGGGATGGAGAGAAAGGAGGAGGCGCCGCTGGAAGATGGAAAGTTCAGAAGAAAAGAAGGACACACGATTTGGAAGCAGAAAAGAATGAGAAAAGAGGAGGCTTAACAACAAACTTCTGTTTGTACAGGAGGAAGAGGGGGAGATGTTTGGGGGATTTGAGATCAGGTTTAATTCTAGGGATAAGAAAAGCTGGTGCTTGAGAGAAAATGGCCACCGTCCTCGCTTCAGTCCCTCCTTTCATCCATCCCTTCATCCAACATATCCTCTCTTTTTTTTGTGGCTTGACTGCAGCTTTGGACAGCCAGAACTTTTTTTAATTCTCTGCAGATAATTTTAATGTGTCAGATTATAAAAAATCTCTCCTTTCCTCTTGACTCCTTCCCCTGTCATTCATCAACACCCTTTATTCATTCATCACCTTCAACATCAACTTTGAAGAATGTTTCTTAAGCTGCTCCTCCAATGCTCCTATTTAATGTAGCCATATTTGTCGCCTTTTTGTTTTCTCTTGCATGACAAGGTTTGATCTTGGTTTCTGATTTGTTTTCCGAATAAAAACTGAACTAGAATTTTATTTAAAATAACAGGAAACACAAACCTCTGATCATGTATCCAGCCTGAGGATATTTCCCCTCCTTTTAGACGTATTATTTTTTTAAATATAATTTTTGGCTGTAATTCAACTGTTAAAGGTCAATCAAACTCATAACTTTATTGTCTTTTCCTGCCATCAGAGGGTTGTATTATGTTCTGGACATCACAGAACTAAAGTTTTAAAAATTATTTTGGTTTTAGTTTGTTACCTAAATGTTTTGGATCATTCAACACATTTTTTTGATTAGTCAGATGACCTAGAAAAAAATACAAAAAAACAAAAAAAAATATTTTAAACAATTTCATTTATAAAAAAAACAACTATTTAAACCAACCTGACCCAAACAGAAAAAATAAAAAAGCACTTTGTTTTTAAAACCCTGATTTCAGTGTAGCCAACAACACGTGATCACAGAGCCTGAGAAATAGGAAATCTATCATTGGGATCCGTTTAAGAGCACTGAGTTGACTAAATCTCAGTAGCCAATACACTAGTTACAACCTGAAGATGAGATGGGTACCAAAAGTCAAGAAATGCATCTAAACAGCCAGGAGCTCAGTAAAGAACCTTAACAAAAACATCTAAAGGATTCAACTTGCTAAATTAAGGTCAAAGTTCATGTTGGAAAAATAAAAAAGAGAGACTGGGAGAAAATGGCCTCTGTAGGAGAGCTCCAAGTCCAGAACCACTGCCGACTCAAAGCGCCACGTCTCAGTTATGCCAAGAAAAATCATGATGATCCTTAAGACAATATTCTGTGGGCTGACAGGTCATAAGTAGGTCTTTGTGGACGTGCATCTTATTGCATAAGTTGTAAAACATGCAGCATTTTTGATGATGAATGCTAAGCTACTCACATGGTGTTAGTAAATTGGTATTGCTTTGCTGCCTCAGGACCTAGATCACCAAATTTAAGTCATGGAACTAGGAATTATGTTCTTTAAGCCGAATATCTGGAGGAGGACTTTTATCCATAGCACCTTATCATGCACTCATTATCAGTTATTGATATAGAGGGCAGGATAACTAGCTGTTAGGTTTCTGTGGTTGCTTTTTGCAGTATTTTTTATGTATATTTTTATTTTTATTTTTTTCCCTGTAATGAAAAATTTGAATTAAAAATAGAATTTTTAGGTTAATTTGTCGATATAATACATTTATGTTTAAAACACGGCATAATTGAGAAAACTCTAAGGAAGAAAATACTTTTTGGATCTCTGTGTGGAATGATTAGTTTTACAGGTTACCTTTGATGAAAACCTTAAAAACAGTTCCTCAGAAAATTTAAATTACATTAAAATATTACATGTGCCATATATATATATATATATATATAGGATCACTTAAGGCAGAAATCGATTCGTTTTAAAGATTGAATAAACTGACTTTAAATAATTCTGATATGAACAGAGACACTGAACATTTCAAGCTGTGTCTAGGTTGAGCCCAAAAAGGCAAGGGAGCAGGTTTTTAGTTGGACATTTCTAAAATAAAAAAAAGTTTTTTAATTCATTGGGTTTTTTTGTGTCTTTTTTGTTTGTTTTTCGCTACCAATTAGAAGCATAAAGCAAAATGCAAATGGAACAATAATAATAGTTTTTTCACATGAACTTGCCAGTATACAGGAATGTTTTGCAAGTTTGGGATCATTATTAATAGAGTACATTAATTGGCGTTATAGGTCTATAAATTATACTTAGCATAACACCTTAAATTAACATTGTCAGGTAATTGGTTTTTATCTCCGGCTAACTTTACCATCGTTCAGCAGACTCTAAACCTTAAAACTGATATTTATAAAGGATTTTAACATGAAAAAGATTACGGTTTTGCACAGTAGATAGGCTTACATATGTACAGGTGTATACAATGTATTAAAATGTACAGGTGAGCCGCATTTTATCTTATATGGGTCAAATGATAAAGTTTATAAAAAAAATCACTATAAAAATGTATATCTGACTTCACCATACACTAACCTGACAACAGCCAGATGCATGTCTAGCTCCGCCTAGCTCCACATGTGAGTGGAGCTAGGCGGAGCTAGACATGCATCTGGCTGTTGTCAGGTTAACCATACACAGCATTAAAAAATAAAATTTAGTCTTTGTTATGACAAATGAACCAAATATTTTTGCTTTCTCCTATAATTTTAACATAGATTTGTATCCATTTTTGACTCATACATTTTCACACAGTTGCTCTCCTTCATCATACCACTCTTCTTTGGACACAAAACTTTTCTTTTTGACTCTTATATCATTTATTCTATGCTGCTCTGCCTCAGTGAAGGTATTTATTTCCTTCTTCTTTAGTTTGTTTTACAAAAATCAGTTTTTCACTTCATGTCCCCCAATCTCCTGTCCCTAACAGTCCACCATGTTTTCCCTCCACCATAAGGTAATTGTTTGCCTCAAAGCATGGATCATTCCTTGCTTTTCTTCACGTTGAACTGTGGACTCTGAACCCTGCTACCACGAACTTTATATATATATATATATATATATATATATATATATATATATATATATATATATAAAAGACACACATAAATATATTAAACTAAGCCACTGTTTTTATTCTTCTGGTATTATGATGATAATAATGGTAATACTAGTTAATTATTGACTGATGACTATATTATCTGTATTCTGTACTTGACAACAGGAATCTTATAATGATTGTGTGGAAAAATCAGAAGCCGCCATTCTGCTGATTACAAACATGCTTCTTGTTTTTTTTTGTGTGGAACAATTTGTGGCTACAACAGCTAAACCTACTACTTCTATAGAAAGTTATAGCTTAAAAAGACTAATATTATTATTTGACTGTAAAAAGATGAAAATATTTAGACTTTGCCATTATTATTTATCAACTGAATCAATTTATCAAGTTTTTTATTTATTTGCTTTGAAGAAATCAATAAAATGGAATTATAATTTTATTTTTCTTAAACCAAACTTCTGTCTGTCCTGGTAATTTATTGAAACTGACCTAACCTGTGACAATCATTCAGAAAGCTGCATCCAGACTGTTGTCTTCAGCCCTCTCCAGCACCTCCGGCCCATTCTAGGCTGTCCCCTTGCCTTCCTCAGCTTGTTGTCTGTCCATCTCTGTTTATTTCTTTACTTTCTGCATTATTTGTAAACTCCTACACCCACCTGCTTCTTTCTCCTCTCAACATCTCCACTCTGTTGGTTTTTAGGGTTTTGTGGATTGTTTCTCTCCAGACTTAATGAGCTCCGGGGGGAAAATTATTGCTGCAATAACAAGCAAACGTTGGCTCCCACTCATTGTCTTCAGTTTATCTAGTTAGATTTTATTGTGTCTGTCTCATGTGTCTGTCACTTTCTTGTCCTTCCTGTACTACCGTTCTGAGATGTCCGACTTACTCCAGATCTTTGAGATTTCTAATTAGTCTGGAAAAGAATATAACTTGATTTTATTATTCCTCAGGTCTAATGTCCTCCCTCCCTTCCTTCCTCCCTTATTTTGTCTTTAATGTGCCCGACTGTCCTTCCTTTTCTCCTCGTATCCCATTAAGTGCTTTATTATTTATCTTATTTTATATACCGTTCCTTCCGTGTTTCCCTGCCTCTTCACCCGTTTTTTCTAAACTTTTGTCCTTTGGCTATTATTCTCTATTGTCTCCCTTTCCTTCCATGTGCCAAATTTTTCTTTCTACCTTCTAAACTGTTAATATGTACTGCTAATTTGCAAAAAATATTTTAATGACACTTTGTAAAAAAGAGAAAAAAATACTCTTAGAAGTATTAATTTCAATGCAATTATCCAGATTCCAATTCAATTTCACTTATAAAAATGAAGTTAATTTATTCTCCAATGGCCACACCTTGTGTTTTCTTTCTTTCTTTCTTTCTTTCTTTCTTTCTTTCTTTCTTTCTTTCTTTCTTTCTTTCTTTCTTTCTTTCTTTCTTTCTTTCTACAATAAAATGTAACACCTTCCTGTGGGAGGTCAGGGTGTTATTTGGATTAATGAGAGGAAATAATCTGTGATATATATTTTCATATATCAAGAGTCAACAGGCCTAGTGGAGGAAGATAAAGATTAAATTGGAATAATGGGTTCGAAATTCGAAAATTTCCTGATTCCACACAGTTATATTTAATAATGCATCCTATTTGACAATTTTACATATATTTATCCTCGTGAAACATTTGCATATTATATCTTAGCAAAAAAAAAAAAAGGCAAATGCATATATGCAAAAAGGACAAAGGCCTCAGTGATGGTACATAATGGGTATTCAAAGGTGTGAACTGAGTCAAACCATGGTCATGCCAGAATTTCTTTAAAATCTTTTACCTTGTAGCATACGCTGCCCCACCCACAAAATTGTCTGCAAACAAATAAGGGATTACCATAGTACATTTCTACTATTTGGTTATCTTTTTCTAATACATTTCAATTCCACTGTGATAAAAAAGACCCTCAATATTTTATTGTTTGGTGTGACTGGGCATTATCAGTGGATCTCTAACTGCTTCTGGTAAGGGAAGCATGCTGTGTGGAGGCAGATTTCGAAACCAGTTAGTAAGAAGTCAATAAAAGAAGCAAAGTAATCACCTTTGTTGGTGTATTTTATTCCATTACAGTTAGATACAGATACCACAGAGCCGAGGCATCTGTGTAAGTAGCAACAGTGAGTTACTATTTTCCCCAGATTTTTCCCATTTGCATTTATAATCTGTATGCAGAGGTCAAAGTGGAGGGATTCGAGGTAACATCTTCTAGAAAACTTCATGTCCAGTAGCCTTAACATTACTTGACAAGGGGTTACAGAGGTGGAATTCTTTCAACCTAGTAACATTTAGAATGTTGCTTAAACTATAAACAAATACATTTCTTTTGTGTTAACTTTAAACAAAGACAAAACTTTTACACAGTGCTAGAAAAATACACCAAAATGCCCTCTTGTTATCCGCATGGAGTCTGTTTTGAACAGTTTGCAGACACATACACATTTCTGGCCTGGTGGAGGTCATTTTGCAGGGCTCCGGTAGTGCACCTTCTGATCCTTCTTGCACAAAAGCAGAGGTAGCGGTCCTGCGTTGTTTCCCTCCTACAACCTCCTTCAGGTCTCCTGGTGTACTGGCGTGTCCCCTGGTCAGCCTCTAGACACTACATTGACCGACACAGCAAACATTAATGTGCCATCCAGGATGAGCTGCTCTACCTAAGCCCAATGTGTGGGTTGTAGAGTCTGTTACCTAGAGTGGGAAAGCACCACCAACATTTAAAAAGTATATATATATATACACACTCTGGTGCAGGGGGTGAAAGGTGTTGTCCATGATGGATGTAAGCTTGGACAGCACCCTCCTCTCAGCCACTTCCTCCACTGAGTCCAGAGCTCAGCCTAGGAGAGAGGTGGCCTTTCTCACCGCTTTGTTTGGTCTCTTTCTGTCCCCTCTGCGCTGCCAGGGCCCAGCAGACGACAGTAGAGAGGAGGGCTGATGCCAGCACAGAGTCATAGAGGGCGTCGCTGTTATGAGTCCAGTCCAGTTTATTATTGACGTGAAGTCATATTATTTTGTTTACGTGTTCCCTTTATTTTTGAGCAGTGTATTAAAGACTTAACCTGAGATTAGTCTTGATGGATTTTGTTTATTATTTTCCTGCAAAAATGTGTAAAATTGTCTGAGATTAACATTTAAAATGTTACCAGCCAAAGACCAGATGTTTATACCTTTGTCAGGACCCCTCAGTCAGATAAGAGAAACTTAAACATGGCTTGGGGGTCATTGCTTTGTTTCTTTATCGATTTGAGTCTCCCAAACCCAAAACCGTTGAAGACTCCTGGTTTAGAGCAAAATCATCAGATATAAGTCTGGTATAATTTTAATAGTGCATGCTGTCATGCAGTCTCCGATATGCTGAGCTTAAGTTATTTGTTTGTTACCTAACTAAACACCGAGGAGGCCTAACTGAATTTAGTTTATTTATATAGCATGAATTCACAACACCTTATTTCAAGACATTTTAAAGAGACAATTATGTAATTGAGATCTTACATTTAGAGTGGTTAAAATCTTTCTATCTAAGGAAACCCAGCAAATTGCATTGAATGATTGACTTGGCAGGAGTCACTGAAGCAACAGTAGACAATCATTTGTATTGGGTTCTTGACTCTGCAGCAATCCCTCATAGCAAGATTGTATGCATTGACAGTGGAGATGAAAAACTCTTTTAACAGGCAGAACCAAGCTTAGTCTTAATGGCCTTGTGGTAAGAACGACAGGGTGTTCAAGAAGGCAGAAGTAGCCACAATAAACAAATGTAAAAGTACTGATCCATAAATGCTTTCTA